TGAGCTTGATACAGAGATGATGTTAGTTTATGCTTTTGTTGGTTTGGTTAGTAATCTGTGTTTTGTAGTGACAGATCCAGTGGCGGGGCTCCACTTGGTTTCGGTCCCGCTTGGAAAAGTGGTGATAGAGATAGCAGTAGCAGTAGCAGTGGCTCCTGTGACAGAGATAATAGGATCCTCATTGAGATTACGATCGTCAATAGGATTAAGAAAGGTGGACTCCCATAGGAGTCCATATATAGGATCCTCATCGCAATTTCGATTGACAACAGGATGGTCCACATTGAGATTACGATCGTCAATAGGAGTAAGAATAAGGGGATTGCTTACGAGCGAATCCAAGGGGATTGAGTTGCAATAAAGGGAAGGACTACCGATGAAGAGTGCAAGAGGAAACTCTGGAGCAATCTGCATAAAGGAGTAGCGCAGTCCATTGACAACCATAAGGGATAGACATATAAGAATAAGAATGAGTAACATCTCATAACCTCGCATGCTACCATGCGACAATACCATTGTGCATTGACTAATCTAAGGATCTAAGAGATGTAAAGTTTGTATTTCCAAATAAGTGAGCAGTTATTGATTATTTTCTAGAATAAGCCTGCTAATTGTAAAGCTGTAAAGCTGAATTGTAAGCTGTATCCCGTCGCACGACTCTGAAACCAACTCTCCCATCAACTTCATAAGCTTTCCTAAAACAATATGTGGCTGGACCAACAATTCTGCTCTTTGTTTTCTTTGCTACACCTCCCAAGAACTCACTTCCTTTTTCAATGAAGAGTTTGGCTGCATCTCTTGCTTTGGTCTCGGCCCGCAACTTGGATGAAATCGTTTCGCGCTCTGCTTGCAGCTGTTTGACCATCATGGGTGCCATTGATGCTGCCGCCTTGATATCTCGAGCTATCTTTGCATCCGTCTTTCGGAGCTTCTCTGTACTGTCGGTAGCTGTTCGCACGTACTGCTTCGCCTCCTCAACCATGTCGGTCAACTCCATCAGCCACGGCGTCGATTTGTCAAGCTCGCCCAAATATTCCAACACCTTCAGCGTGCAATGCGTCAACAGCCCACTCGAGACATGCATTCCTGAGCAAGAGTTTAACTCTGGCATCGTGTACAGCAGCGGCTCATGGACAACGCTGTGGTATTTGAGTTTCAGTGCTCTGGCTCGTCCTGCCGAATTCAACCTCACCCATTCAACCAATCCCTTTGCATCTGCTATAAAGGCCTCATAGACATTTGGGTTTGCGAGATCTCCCTCTCGATTCGGAGCTTGCTCATTCGGAGGCGCCGTCAGATACGATGCAAATTCTTTCTTTCGTGCGATGCAGATTGTGCAAGGGCACATTACAGCGGCAGTACCTTGCCCCATGAGTGTTGTGTTGCACTTTATATCATCTGATGTGAAGCACCGGCATTGCAAGTATCGTACCCTGGACGTGTTACCGGAAGCAGCAACCAAATCATCAGTGAAAGAATTCCGACTGATCTCTCGACCGAAGCAGTTCCTCAAAACGAAGCCTTTATAAATAATGGCTCCTTCGTTCGCGTTGTCGTCGTCATCATTAGATATAGGTTCTTCTGCGCTTGACACAACCAGTTGAAGTGAAATTCGAGTAGGATCTTGGTCCAGTGTGAGAGACCCCTCTTCTTCCAAAGTAACGATTCGGACTGACCGAGGCAACGACCCCTCCTCTTCAATTGAAATATTGTCGGCTTCAGCCTCGTCTTGGTGGAGAATAACTGAAAGCTGGCCAGAGCTGCCTTCTGGTTGAAGGAATCGGAGCATTTTGCATTGAGCGCCAACAACTGCACCAGAGCTCCCGTTGTGGATTGTTACAGCAATCATTTGATACTCTTTGTTGAGCATCGATTGGAGGAACTCTCGAGTTGGTTTGTGGGGATTGAAAATTGTTGCCTTGAGGTTGAAATAGGATTCTTTGCCATACTCATAAAACGAAAGAGGAAGGCAGTGCTGCGAACTATTGCCTCCACATCTGTTGGCCAAGCGGATAAGGTTCGCTGTAATATCTCCACCACGATCGGAGCCTTGGACAATGACAACCTCTTCCTTGTGATTTGAAAACAGCGAAGACTCTTCGAATTTGCCAGCAATCAAAGCACTCTGGGTAAGACGCTCCACGGCAATTGCAGGCTCCTTTATCCAGACATGTAAACATCTTTCGTTGCGCGTGCTCCCACCAATTTCGAGTGAGACCAACTCAAAGCCAAGCTTCAAATTGAACACATCCATTGAGTATTTCGCAATATTCTTCCTCAATGAGACTGGGAACATCGATGGGCCAATCGAAGGTAAAGCCCATTTCATGAATCGTTGCAACCGTTCCAAGCCTCTGGCTGTCACGGGCAAGTACAGCATTAGAGCTGCGCATTGTGCAATATCCAATCCACAGTCAATCTCTTTCAACACTCGAAGGCCTCTTCGGTTCCCAAGCGTTTGTAGAAGTGACAGCGATTCCTCCTCTGTGACACCAAGGTTCGACAACAGAGCCTCCACAAGATGACCCTTGGCTCGAAGCTTTCTTCCTTTCTTGTCCCCAGCACCTTGTCTCGTCTCTTTGATTCGCATTATCTTTATAGGATTCCCATTAGAGGATCGCAGTGTGATGAATTCAGCGGATGCCTCCAACGCAGCTCTCATGATTCTGGGCAAGTTGTTGCAGCCATCGCTACCACTTTCATGTTCGTTGTCAGCCTCAGCCTCATATTGAATGAGAGAGTCTCGTTTCCTTTTCAAAAGGAAACCAACAGCCCGGCAGATTGCCTCTTCGGCCTCTCTGCCAATGCCATCATCTTCGATATCAGCAAGGAGCTGGATCTTGCCGAGCAGCAAATCATCTAGCCGTGAATCGTCAGTCTGTGTTGTTGTATGGACCTTGTGAGCCAGATTAAAATCAAGACGTGTTCTGTTGTTTTCTTGCTCCCATTCATTGCTTGCATTTTGGCGGGATGGAAGTGTTGGCGACGAAAATTCATAAGTGACAGGAGAGCATGTACTCTGAGCTGGGGATAGGGTGCTGTCGGGCGATGCAAATTGGCCAGCTGCTATGAAAACTGATGGCGTAGCTCTGACATCTTGACGCTTTGGATTACGGTCAACCAATGCTGGTGAGAAAACCTGGGCTGTGGATTGCTCGCTTGGATCTGATCGGACGGGCCGCTTTTTGTTGTCTTCATCGGAGATTTCAGTGCTGCTATCAGCTGAAGTGAGCCAAGAGAGAAACTCATTGCCCAGCACTGAGGAACATGCCCTTCGAATTGCCGGTTTTGACATGCCCCATGCAAAGGATAGGACTTCAGTTGGAGAGGACCCGTCCTCGCCTCTGCCAACTCCAGAAAGACTCATGAAAATAAACACCATCATCTTCTTTTCGCTCTCCAGAAGTCTGGGCGACTCGGAGTCATCAGTGATCAGCGCATTGCGAAGCCATCCAAAGGACAGCTTATCATTGCCATCAGCCACGAAATCAAAAAGAGGAGTTCCTTTCTTTCTCGGACGACAGCCAATCGTTTCTTGCAAGGACGACAGGAAGGCTTCCCAAGGATCTGCATTGTCTGAGAAATCTTGGTTGTTCAAGGCATCTTTGTTGTCGTTGCTACTGTCGCTGCTCTCATTTTCAGTAGTATCTGTGGGCGTTGATGGACGGCTGTCAAAAAGATTGCGCAAATCGACACAACTCTTTGATCGTCTCACTTGGATGCGACGGCTCCGACGGCAGCCTTCCATCATGCAACAGCTGCAGCTCTTTGCCTTGCATAGTGACAACTACAGAAGAGCCCAAACAAGTCATGACCGTGAGGGTGTGTCCTTGGGACTTTGAATGCGACAAAAGAATGCTCCTCGGGTTTTTGTTGGTCCATCATTCGAAAATTTAGCCGCAGCTTGACAACTCCATCTTGATTGCTGCATTGCATGGATGGTTGTGGCCAACGGAGTGCTCTTGTTGGCATGAGTGGCATGAGTGGCATGAGTGGCATGAGTGGCATGAGTGGCATGAGTGGCATGAGTGGCATGGTGTAATGGAGTGGCATGATGTAATGGATCGATCTGTTCGGAATAATATAATGATATGGATCCTTCCTGTCGATCGCGACAAAAGAATCTTCCAAAATGGATTGAATCAGAAAACAGAGCTATAAAGTGATGTTAAACTATGCCCTGAGAACTCTTCTGGCTTGGTTGAGAGACCTAATCCACGTTAAATAGGATACCAAATCTTCCCACCCACGCTTTCAGCCAAATTTTCGATCAGCCGTACAGAACCAAATAAAAGCACTAGCAACTAGCTAGCTAGTTGCTGATAGCTATTGCAACACTCTACATGTATTGTCACTACTGTCGACACCGAATCTACCCACCTTCTAGCTAGATTGTCGTGAGTAGGAGCAAAGCACAACACTAGCAAGTACGGAATCAACTACAGAACATAAAGCGATAACAGGGTAATTGAATAGTATTATAATAGACGGTGGAGATATTGCTCATAAACAGGAGTTGCTTGTTGGATTCGGCGACCGCTCACTTGCTGCCAGTTGTGTTGCGTTGATGCTTACGGGCTAGCGCTTCTTGTTTCGCGACTGTCTGTTTCACGACTTCGTCATTGAATTTGCGTTCAGCAATATTGGCGTCAACAAGGGAGGCAGCTTGCTCCACCGCAAGCTCTAGCAACTTGCCCTTATCCTCGAATTCAGTCTTCAGAACGATGATGTCTATCTGACGGATTGCATCACCATGCTGCTCATCTTTCGAACGCAGGAACCTCATTCGAATGATCCGACCACTTGTTTCGTTGCCTCTGATCTTTTGGAACTTGGTGTACCATTCAAAGCGACTAGTCAGTCGAAGCTCCATCGATTCAATGGGGCCATCCAAGGCACAATCATTGGGCATAGTCCCATCATCGTTCCTCTCAGCTCGTACTCCACGGATATGGAAGCGGTATGATGCAGAGCCTGCAAACCGATCAAACGTTACAGCACCACGATAGTCATGAATCGTACCGTCATATGTTTCAAATCCAATGGCAACATGCCTTGTTTCGCCCATGCTGTCCGCATCATCAATAGGATCGAGTGAAACAATCGTTCGGTAGGAGAGAAGGGGGTCATGGGATGAGGCCCGTCCGATGCCAGGGAGGCCGTGCTGAGAAAGATCCATCGTGACAACACAAGAGCAAGGAGGATTATGAGATCGACAATGCGAATGTGCCATTCGCCAACAACACGCATGACACGGAGGAACATTCCCGGCCAGCCCACCGCGCCACAGAAACTTCCCGCTCAATTTGAAGGTCTGTCAACGGAGAGGAAGAAGAATATTTGGGGAGTTTTGAGTGTTGAAGAAGAGGCTGCGTGCCGCTCACACACACAAATCAATAGACGAAAAAGCTACTCACTCGCTCACTTTCATGAAAGCAGCAACCATGACATCGCTTTGCAATGAGGAAGTAAAAATTGCGTTCTTCTCAAAAGCAACTGCCAAAGCCACAGCGGTAAGCACTGACACTCTTTCCAAGATTGCCCAAGGTGTGAAGTGTGGACTCCGCCGGTGCCAAGATCGCCAAGCGGATGTTGACATGTTTGTATGTGTTCAAGGAAACAAATACATTCCAAATAATCTGCCAATTTGCCTCGAAGATGTCAATGCCACAATGGAACAAACTGCCAACGGGAACCTCACGCTGAAAACTCTCACTGGTGGGCATTTCCTACATGTTATCTTCACCAGTGGAGGCTCTCAGTTTCGCTTGGTTGATCGACAACCTCCTCGAGCCCAACAACCAGCTCCGCCTCGCCCTCCACCTCGCCCCCAACAACCACCTCGTAGGAACAACATGGCTCCTCCACAGCGGAGACGCACTCCGATGGAAAACGCGAAGGTCCGCAACAGATCCTCTTCTGATTCATCTTCCGAAGAAGAAATTGTCCCAGCTCCCCGTCGACAGAGGACCGTCGCTCGAGCACAACAAAAACAACAACAACTGGATGACAGCGACGATTTCTCGTCCGCTGAAGAGTATCAGAACTTCTCGCAGCTCACAGGGCGGGCGAAGCGCAGTTGAAGTGTCTGTAATAGCACCATATATGCCTGTTGATGCGGTCGGTATAGACGCTTTTCGTCATGGGCTGGTGGTTGGTGGCAACGATCGATTCAGTGCGAATTTTGTGGAGGTATTAGCTATATAAGTTATATCTAGGATGAATATTTGAATGTACGTCGCCCCCCGGTGGGCGAGGCTGGCGCTTAATGTCCCCTGCGAACCGATGTGACAGTAAACTCCTTGTTTACTCATGAGTAAACAAGGAGTTTACTCATGAGTAAACAAGACTTTAACTGATGAGTAAACAAGGATTCACTTGTTTACTCGTGAGTAAACAAGGATTTAACTCATGGATAAACAGTCATGGGTAAACTATGACAAATCGTAAACAGTTTAAAACTGGTCAGGTCCCATTTCCGGGTCACCCAGCCAAATCCCGAAGTCGTGAAGGCTGACGTCAGTGACGGGAACCCGACATCAAGATAGATCTTGCCCGCCGAAGCCATTTAGAAGCCTGCTACCAGCGCCAAAACAGGTCAACTTTACCTGTTGCAAAGAGTGAAAACTTTAATTCTTTTATTGAATCTCTTAACTCTTCGTCTGAAAATGTGAGCTCTGAGTCGTGCTTAAAAGATCGTGATTCAGATGTCAAATCCAATCCCAACGTCTGTCCTCGACAGGTCCTTTTGTGTAGGCTCAGTACATTTTCTACACAACTTTACCTGTCTTATTTTACTTTACCTGTTTTGGCGCTGGTAGCCTGCGAAAACGCCATCTCTTCGATCAGCAATACTCTAGCTGTCGTCTACCATTTTTTAAAAGACTCTTGCTACTTCGCCTTCAAATGTGGCTTCTTGCTTTGGTCGTGACTGCTGCGCTTTCCTTGGTATCATCTATCCGCACTCCTCCAAATGTGATTGTTGTCGGTGGTTCCTCGGGAATGGGGAAAGCAGCAGCTCTTGCCACCATTGAGCATGGCGGGAAGTGCATGCTGGTGAGTCGATCCAAAGACAAGCTGTCCACAGCCAAGTCCTATTTACTTTCACAGGTCCCATCAGCCATTATCGACACCGCTGTAGTCGATGCTACGAATGAGGAGGAAGTGCAGGAATTTGCAGAAACACTGGAATTGGGTGCATGGGACGGTCTCGTGATATCAGCGGCAGGAAGAGCACCTCATGGGCCATTCACCGAACTACCAACCTCGGATGCCCGAGGAATGATGGAATCCAAGTTTTGGACCGCCTATCATTGTGCCAAGTACATCTCGGTCAAGCTAAATGACGGAGGTTGTGTGGTGTTCGTTGCAGGCATTTTAAATCGAAGACCAGGTAGGTGTGGTGGCGGTCGAAACCAGTTTCTTTTGGTTGTGCTGTACCCTCCTTCCTTACCGTAATTGTACAACATCAATCTGATTTTTCTCAGGCATAAACTGTTCCCCCCTGGCCATTTCGAACGGAGCCTTGGAGGGTCTGACTAAATCATTGGCATTGGAGTTTGGGCCACGGTTACGATGCAACTGTCTTAGCCCTGGATTCTGTGACACAGAGAGGTTTGACCACATGACTCCAGATCGAAAGGCGAAGATGATTGCCAACACTGCCCTCTCCCTGCCTTTGCAGAAGATCGGCGAACCCAGAGACATGGGAGGCGCTCTGTACTACTTGTTGACAGCTCAGTTCTGCACTGGAGTTATCTTGGACGTAGACGGCGGGCATGGGATACGACAATATGCGTCCGTTGCGGGGGATCCAATGCGTGCAAAAGAACAAACACGACAATAACCAGCTAGCTATGTGGCAACGGAACCAAGCTTCGTACTTCCAAAATCCACAATTGCCACTTACTTGTAGAAACCTTTACTACGGATTCGGGAACAATTGATCCTTTCCCCTCTGGGAACCAAATTTGCCACCCCCCGAAGAGAAATTTGCTTCACAATGTATTTACCGTAGTGTGGCTACCTGATTGCATTGAGTACCGGTACGCCCGGCGCTGATAACCGTTGACAATCCGAACTCCAGGAAAACGCTAACCCTAAACAATGTGTCCGTTAAGTAAAGTTTTGTTCCGATGAGGTGAAAGCCATGGCTTTTAAAAACCCACAACATGGGGCGATCAGTTGCCCCAAAACGGTGACGTCATGAATTTTCGACCCCTAAGTCGCCAGGACGGAAATTTTATGCTCTATCCAGCCATGTATATGGCGTAACTGTCCGATGGTTAGAAGAGATATCGCGACCATAAACAACTAACGACAACAGTTGGTGCGCTCATTAACAATGCATCAACAGATTGAATTTGCTTAGGCGGGAACTTGGACGACTGGCGTGGGATTTAAAAGTTACTTAACGACTCGCCTCACTTTTTCCGAATTCAGCGAGAACTTGCCTCCGAGCGAAGATCTTTCCGTACGAAACGGCGAGTTACACTCGCACGATGTATCAGTCAGTCGATCGTTACACAATGACAAGATAGTTTGGTTCCTAGTTCTTGCAAGAGCACCATGTCGACACCCCCCCCAAGTAGAGCCAATGCACCACCCGGTATCAGCCCAAGATTGGGTAGCACTGCCAAGAAGAGGAGCCCTGTTGCAGCATTGCACAGTGGTCGCAAGAAGTTGAAAGGATGCACATTGCATGAAGAGTGGGAAAGTTTTTGTATGATTGAAACCTACTTCTTTGACCGGACTGATCATAGCGAGCGATGCTTTGACATGGACAATACCTCAAGGAAGCTGAAGTGCACATGCCTACATGATGTTCGAGGTAAACTCAAAGATGAAGAGAGAATGGCCATGGTCCAGAACCTCTGGGAGTTTGCGCTGTTGGAAGCAGATGAACAAAAGGTTCTGTTGGTGCAGTGGTACAGGTATGGCACAGTTGTCCAATCGATGAAGAAGGATACAAAAGTCTTCCTACTTCCTGGAACAGACTATCTAGTTTGCAAGCATGCATTCTGCGCAATGTTGGCAGTTGGTACCGAAAAGTGGCGCAACATCAAGAAGATCGCAGATGGAAGGAAAGAACTCAAGCACGGACTGACAAGAAGACAGTCTGGGAACCGACGCAATCTAGCCATGGACATGGTGCTGAAGGACTTCTTCACTGGAATGGAGGCGATGGCAGTTCCACGTGCAACAAGGATAGTTCGCGAACTTGTACGCGGCCAAGTCGAAACAACTCTAAGAGAGGATGACGAAGATGTCGTGGAGCTACCAGCGTGCTACTCGAAACACTTCTTGTACAAGAGGCTTCTTGAAGAACGTGGTTGGAAGTACAACTATACACAGAAAGGACTCATCAAGGAGAAAGAGAAGTTAAGGGAAGATGCAGACGACGTTCCATCCTGACCACCTTTCGTCTCTACTGGAAAAAGAACTTCCCCAAAATGGTGATCCACAAGCCAAGGGAAGACGTCTGTGGTGACTGCTACGTGTTCGCAAATTCTCACAAGTACCATACCAAGTTGACCAAAGCGGTGAGACGTCTTGCAAAGAAACAAGAACAGAAGACACGGATTCTTCTTCAGAGGAAGATGAAGAAGAGAAGCATCTGCAAGAAGTCATCGATCATGCCACACAAAAGGAGGTCGACGACATGCTAGCCAATGAGGAGATGATAAAGTCGGCAGCCAAACATGTGGAGATGGCACAGATCCAGCGAGACTTCTTCCGACTCAAGAAACAGGAAGCTCCTGACACAAGTGATCAACCACCGGCCAATCGTATCCTCTGCTTTGTTCCGACTACTCACAGAACATGTATGTTCCCCACTTCGCTGCAGAACAACCCGGTGAGACCTACTATTTAAGCCCAATGAACGTCAACGTCTTTGGCATTGTCGACTGCAGCAGGGATCAACCAACACTTGCTGCTCTTGCTTATGGGGAAGACCAAGCAAAGAAAGGGGCAAGATGTGCCAGTCTACTTATGTATGATGAGGCGGTCACTTGGAACTGTCGTTCCTTACAAGGAACTCAACATTGTCATGGATAACTGCGGCGGTCAGAACAAGAACAGGATGGTCCTCCGTCTGCTTCATTATCTTGTCAAGGCAGGAGTATGTCTTATGGCAAGAGCTTCCTTTCTTGTCAAAGGCCATACCAAGAATGACTGCGACCGACTCTTCAACATCCTAAAGAAGGAGTGCGACAATCCAACACCTACACCCCGAAGGATCTTGTGCAAACGATCAACCAACACCATCTCATTGACGCAATCCATGTTCCACAAGAAGCCTTTCGAGACTACGACGCACAACAGGAGCCAATGATATACATTCCGACTGGGCAAATCAAGAAGAACCATCAGTTTACTGTCTACGCAGATGAAGCAAAAGGAAGCGGCAATGACATGTATGTCGCCGAGTACCACGGAGCAGAGGAAACTTGTCTTAAGTTGGTGAAAGAAGATTACAGGAAGCATCCTATGAGTTGGTGGCGAGAGCTTCCACTACCAGAGCCGTCAGCCCCTACCGGCATCAAAGATATTAAATGGAAGGAGCTGTATGAGAAGTGGGGAAAGATAGTCCCACAAGAGAAGAAGAAAGGATTCATTTACTTTGAAACGGCACCATCTGCAGAGAAGCTAGCAGCCATCAAAGAGCACTCCAGACAAGCTAGAGAGCACCGGCAGTCAAGGCAGGCCACCATGGTCAAAGATACAACACCCAGAGCAGAGATCTAATGAGCAGGTAAGCCATAAAGGTGGTATTTCGAGTTGCGGGATTGCGTTCTACCATGGTGGCTTGTGAGCTAACACGAAATCGCGATTTTCTCGACTGCGATTTTTCGCTAGGTGGGGCAAGTGTGCATGCAGTGTTGTGGTTTTCTATGCGCCATGGCTAATTATTTAATTATTATCTGCTTCGGCGAGGTGAAAAATTTGCTTCCCAGGGCTACTCACAACCCAACGACTGGATGGTCCAGTCATTGTACAGGCTAGCTTCACGTCGCACACCCACTGCGGAACCAACTTGTATAAAACGCAAATTTACAAAAACGTAATCAAAATGAGAAAAGTAAAATGTGAAATACCTTACTATTAAGAAACGCCGTGACGTGCTTACACTCCTGTTTAGCTACTAGCTAGCTAGCTAGCTAGCTAGCTAGAGACTACTGGTAGCTAGCTAGCAAAATAGTCATGTCACAGCTACAAATAGCTTGTCCACTACTAGTTATTACCACCAACATCTAATTGTATTGCTTTAGAGCTTGCTCCCAGCCAGGGTTGCATGAGATATTACAGCTGGGAGCAAGCAGCAAACCACAAGCACATTCCAACATGTAATGGATGGCTCTTCTTTTGTTCTCCACATGTGTGAGTTTGCTGTTCATTGTTTTGAACTTTTCTGATTCTGCTTGAGTGACATCAAACAGCCTTACCAATTGTGAAGTTTGGTTGTCAAGTCTAGCTCCAAAGCTTGGACCCGCTGCCGGCAGAGTCGTACCCAAGCTAACATATTGTTGCAAGTTTTCAAAGAAACCCTGTCTGCTACCGCCAAATGATAAAGGATCAGCATCTCCCAGAAGGGGGTAGCTTGTATAGAATTCTGATCGTTTGGCCTCCGCAGAGGTCAGCTTGGCACCATTCTTATGCTCAACATCCCTTTGGTACATATACCGCCCGGGGCTGACAGAGGAGCTTGCAACCATTCCTGCACGGACCCATTGTCTGCGATTCTTGTCCCAGTAGACATAGGCACCATCAACTCGCATGTGAATTGTAACCAGCTTGAAATTGGATGGATCCGTCAGTAGATTGTCCGTTGGTTTGATGCACCCCAAATCGTCCACAATCATGCGGCTCATCACAAAAAAGCGCACATACATGACCAAATGTCTTTGCTTGGAAGTCCCAGCACCAATTGGTTCTGTTGTGCTCTTTGACTCGCTGACTTCCGTTGACCAGCCATTCCAATCGGGCAACTAACATTGACTGCAGAAAATCTGCTCGTGATAGCAAAGCTGGATCAACGTCGTTCACACCAAATCCAAATAGCTGAGCTGCCTGGTTCCTCCACGCGTTGGTTCCCAACAAAGTAGATGCTGATACATAGTCATCAGCACTAAATCTAGATAGACTGGACGTCACAACCACGGCTCCAAGATGTCGTGTTGAAATTGGCTGTTGCGTCTTTGTTGTCCTCTCTTTTGGTTTCTCAATGATCACAGTTTTATTCCGGCATTCATAAGCCAACACCACTAGGCACTTTTCGGTCTCTGGTATAACAGGATCGGTTGATTTCCCCTTTTTGGGTGGCCAACCCGCGGCCAAATCTCTAGGCCAGTCTTTGGTTTTGTTGACTGTTGGAAATGTCCGAACATGGACAAATGCTTGCAGCTCTGGCTTAGTCGGCCCATCAAAATATGCCAATGTAGCTTGAGCTAAATCCAAATTGGCTAATTGCAGAGCCTCATTCAGCTTCTTCTCGCATGCTTCATTAGTATCGATGAGATCCTTGTATCGTTTGTATTCTTTCTGATACAGATCCTCCTGCTTGGCATTGGCTGCTAAGATTTTGGTGGCACGGAGCTGTACTTGGTACTCATGATCAAGGCACTTTGCACGCTGACGATGCTCCTGGGAAATACCTTGATGTTTGGGAACAGACTGTCCCACAGAATCTAGATCCATGGGGAAGCCCAACTCATCAAAGACGGTTTCAGCCACATGGCCATGATCAATCACTTCCTGGACCAGTCTGGGAAAATGAGTCTTCATAAGATTGACTTCATCAATATGCATCTGTTTGCTGCAAGTTGACAATATTCCATCAAAGTCTGGCAATGCCAATCCCTGGACTCCAAAAGGTGTCGATACCATGCCGTTTTCATAAAAGCCGGCAGCAATAATATGGGATGAAACAGCCTTAGATAATACAGCTGGATGCTTGCTAATGAAGTCAATCAATGCGTTCAGCTTCCGCGAGGGAAGGTTCAATCCACTTTGATGTTTGGCCTTTGCAAATGTATTGCAAATCTCATTCTTAAAGCTATGAGCAGCCGGTGGAATATCTTTGTTAGTTGTTGCTTTGCCGATGGCCTTTTCCAATTTGAACTTGGGGCTCAAATCCGCAGCCTGTTCTGTAGCAGACCGTGCCGCTGATTGCTTACATGCATTGATCTTACGCTCTCTATATTGATTGAGAGCGGAATCTTCGGCAATTGTAGCCAACTGGGCTATGTCGCCATCGCACCATGCAACAGCGGTCAGGCTGTCAGGGATAGGAGTTCCCCGTTTCCAACCCTCTTTTACACGTATATTATCAACCCAAGGCAAGAAACAATCCTTAATAAAGTGCCTGTATTTCACTTTATCTGTTTCATTGTCGCCATCATTGCGAACAAAAACAACAAAGCCCGGGTCCTCACGACTAACTGAGACACCGCCACCACCAACACACAAACCATCAATTTGGAGAACCAAAACTCCGTCTTTGCATTGGTCTTTCGGTAGCTCACGCTCATTCAAACCAGAAATTGTCATCCAAACGGGGCCAGTACATCCAGCGGCCGTCATAAGATTCGTCATTTTTACCCGAATGCCAGTGGCAGTAGCTGGCGATGGGCTGGTAGTGTAGATTGATTTGCGTCCTGTATTCGCATCATGAGTTGAGACCGATGTCACATAGACTTCATTTGAAGAATCTATATTCAATCCCTCGATTGCGTACTCGGTTGTGTCGTCCATTGAAATGAGCAAGGCAGCTCGGACAGGATGAAGAGGTGCCCCATCAAGGCAGTCGCTCGCGACATCATAGGCAAACCTTTCAGATTCGGTAGCTTCGTCACGTAGATATTTTCCCAAAATGGGACACAACCTTTCCACAACCAGGAATTGAGAGAAAATAGCAGTAGCACCAAAAGCACCAGTGGATCGACGTGATCCTTCTGCTGTGACTCGTGTTTCTGTTTTATGAACTGCCTTTTTTATGCAGCTGCTTTGATTCATTCCAGCTATTGCTCGAGTATACCGTTTCATGGTATTCTGATGCGGTGAAATAGCTGATTCTCGCAGGGCAACCACACCTTTCTTAGCAAGCTCCTCTTTCTTCTTATCTTTCATCATGCTTGCGATTTCTTTTTGAGAGAAAGATCTTCTTGGATGAGCTGCTATGTCATTCACAATTTCTTGAACAGAGTGAGCAGAGATGTAAGAGGCTTTCCCCTTCTTGACATTCCACTCGTCATTGGGGAAAGTACCAATGGTTCCACCTTTCTCCGCATGATCGTCAAATTGTTTGACTACCCTGAGGAGACCTGAACGGCCAAGTGGCACGTATTTCTGTTTCAAAATTTCTCGAACCACCTGACCACGATCACGACTGTTTTTCCTGAAGGAAGTGATCACAGCAATGCATTCCCGTCGATCATAAACAGAACCATTAGATGGAGTTGGAGCCATAGTAGAATTGGGCGGTTCTTTGGCATTAACCGGTGCTGCTTTTCTGGGGGTTGGTGTAGTAGTTGTGGTTTGGATAGAACTGTCCAGGGTCATAGCTTGAACTTTCCCAATGGGCGTGGATGGTACATGTGAGTTTATTGGAGTGTTTTCCTTATTGACTTTAGTAATAATAGCCAATGCCCGGTCATCAAAGCCAGGAAAGGGAGCAAGCTTCTTCAAATTCTGGCTAATCTCAGATGACGACTGCTTCAAGTACTGACTGACCGTTGTAAGTTCCTCGGTAGCCTTCCTCTTTTGTGCTCGAGAAGAGGTGCGATCAGTAAGAATATTTTGAGCATCAGTAATTACTTTAGATGCCTCTGACATTGTCTTTCCCGTCTCAGTCAATTTCCCAAAGGAAGCAACACCCGCATCGATTTTGGTAGTTCTTCTAACAGGAGTGGCCGGTGGGGCCTTTCTAGGGTTGCTGGGACGCATACCTGTGGGCATGGCTCTATTGGTTGGCCCCACAGAGCAAGCAGTGGGGACAGAAACTAGCTGGCCTTGGTTGGACAGCAAAAATTATGGGAAAATGGCTGCCCCCCCCTTGGCTGGCTATTCGTCACTCCTGCAGCCACCAAATGAGCAAGCCACTACCACCACTGCGACCGGCACGTCCAAATTATGTATCTCCTACCGCAAAGTATTGCTAGGTGGTCTCTATTGGTTAAACTGCTAGATGTATATCTGCCAAATCACTTGGATGGGCAAAATGGAAGTTTCTTTAAAAATGGGAGATTGGATGACTTGACGCCAAAGAAGGTTGCCGGGAGGATGATTTGACGCCAATGAGTGGGTGGTGGATGGTGGATCTGTTCGCTCCGAGGATTTGGAACCGATTTTACCCCATCATTTACCCCATCATCGTGAGCTTCCGCTCCAGAATCCAGTGGTTGGAACGATCCAGTGGTTGAGGCACGAGTAGAGGGTGCCAAATATCCTTCCCGGAGGGGAATTGATCAATTGTTCCCGAATCCGTAATAGACAGTTTACAGAATCTTGGTAAAACACACGAAGGGAGTTGATTCATCATGCATGCATGAAAAGGTTAATTGCTTACTACTACTAGCTAACTAGGCCACAACCTGGACCTCGAACCATGGAATCTCTGCAGGGATCTCCAGCCAAGCTGCCTGCCACAATGACATCATAGATAAATGGCCATAGTCTCGCTCCGATCATATCCTCACAGTGTTTCGTTGTTTGCACCCACTATCATGGAGGCTGCAGAGCTGTTGGTTTCATTGGCACAAAGACAACTGCATCCACATAGCAAAGGGCTGCAGTCAAAGACAAGATCCGTAATTCCACAGAGATACTCTGGAAGTGTTCCTGACAACTCAGTCCCATCCACATACACGAAATCCAAGCTTGTCAGGTTTTGGGGGATTGTGCCAGTCAGGAATGTGCTGTTTGACAGTGACAAATATATAAGATCTGGACCGAGCCCTTCAGGGAGAGAGCCAGACAGAAGAGAGTTTTCCAGAAATAGCATGGTCAATGGGGCATTCGCCAACCCAGATGGCAGTGTCCCAGTTAGGTTTGTGTTGCCAAGAGACAAGCCTTCTAAGTTGACATTTTGACCAATTTCACTCGGAATTGATCCTGTGAGACTGTTTCCATCCATCCACAAGAGACTCAAGTCCGTTAAGAGGCCAACTTCAGTGGGAATAGTTCCAGTGAAGGCGCAAGAAGAAAAACCAAGATAATCAGCAGAAGAGAGCTGACCCATCTCTGTGGGGATGGTGCCGGTGAAGCTAGAGAAATAGAGATTCACATTGATGACATCAGTCAACAAGCCAATCTGTGATGGTATCTCTCCTGAGAAGCCATTGTAAGCAAGAGACAGATAGGTGAGATTGCTCATCAACCCAATATCCGTAGGTATTGTTCCTGTGAGCTGATTCTGCCCCAACGCAAGAGTATGCCAGGAGAGATGCCAAATGGATTCTGGTATAGTCCCAGATAATGAGTTCGCAATGAACACTAGGAAATTCAAATCGGTGGCATCCCCCAGTTCCTCTGGTATGGTTCCTGTTAACATGTTTCCATCCACCGAGAATTTTTCCAGCTTGTGCAACAGCCCAAGCTCTGATGGAACTGGGCCTTCAAGCTGAGCATTGGTGGCATGAAAGTCAGTGAGATTATCAGAAAGAAGGCCCAACTCTGTAGGGATTGTTCCAGATATCGTTGTGACTTGCACGCGGAAGAATTCCAACTCCCTCAACCTCGCAATATGGGATGATATAGTGCCAGCTAGATCAGGATTCTTGAAAAGGTAAATGGTCTTGAGGTTTGTTAACCAGAACACTTCTGGTGGCAACGTGCCTTGCAGAGCATTCGTATAGAGCAAGAGGTGTTGATAAGGGTTGTAGTCCATGTGGACAGCTTGGTTGGAGCTGATGAGCAAGTTGGGTGGGATGCCACATGGAGTGCAATCCTCCTTTCTGGTGCACTCTTGGGAGAACCAAAAACACTCATGAACTGATTGATTCAACCAGTTCTCATTGTTATACCAATCGTGCCCACCTGTAGCATAAAAGAGAGTGGCTAGGGCATACCTTTGCCTGATCCTGCTGGTGTGGGTGTAGTTGTTTTCGTCCAAGTCTTCCATCATCCACTCATAGGCAAGGGACTGGGGAGAGTTGGGATCCTCCAGTGCTTCCAGAGTGTGATTGGACAAAGCTTCCAAAACAAGGAGCTCCACATCAGACAGATTTTGGGCATTTTCTGGAGGGAGTGGTGAGTAGGTGGGTGAGTCAGATACACTGCTGTTGGTGTCCTGATTGTTTCTACCAGAATTAACAAGCAAGGCCACCACAATGACAAGGGCAGCAACGCAGCTGCCATACAACAGTGCAGGCAGCCATAGTGATTGCTTCTTCCTTTCTGCCCTTCTGCTGCTGTCTTGTCCACGATCCAAATCCGCCACCTGTAGGTCCAAATTGTCTGATACTTGGTTCGCCACGGGAAGGCCATCCTCAAGGGAAACTGGGGCTGGCTCTTGCGGTATCGGCTCATCTAGGTCTTCATCCGTGTCTGTGCCTGTACCAGTTGGGATCGTAGTAAATCTGAGTCCTTCCGGAGCCACAGCGTACGCTCCTGGAGGCATAAGCTCTGTTTCTTCCTGGTTTTGGGCAGTTGACGATAAACCATTGGGTCTATTCCCTCCCAGATTGTGGGAATCTTGTTGATTGATCCCTTGGTTTATCCCTGCCTTGTCCAAGACAGCTTGATCCTTTTTTTGTGTTTTGGCTCTCCCGACACACACCAATCGATCCTTTTGGAGCATTTCTGCTTCGCCGACGATGAATTGATCCTTGTGTATCGTTTGAGCTGCTGTGTCATTCTTTTGGTGCATTTCGGCTCTCTCGGCTCCCACCAATCGATCCTTTTGGTGCATTGCTGCTTCACCAACGATGAATCGATCCAAGAGCATCATTTGAGCTGCTGCGTCATCCTTTTGGAGCGCTTCGGCTCTCCCAACACCCACCGATGGATCATGTTTGTGCATGTTTGCTTCACCAACAATGAATCGATCCTTGAGCATCATTTGAGCTTCCATGTCATTATTGTTGGATGACTCATTAATGGTCGACAAATCGAGTTGATTTTGTCCATCCCTATGGACGTATGGATCACTGGAAGGGGGCGGCACTGAGCCACTGAGCCTTTGTGATGCCTCCTGGGAAGAGGACGCCGCATCTGCATCGGTCTGCAACACCTGATCGGACTCGAGCTTGGCAAGCTTGGCAAACTCCACATCGCTATATGTACCGTGACTTAAGCGCTTTACTATGTGCAACAGGGGCTCATCTTCCTCATCAGCGTGTTTTCCGGTTTCCTCATCTTTTTGGTCCCTCTCGCTGTCTTTTTGGTTGTTGTTCATCATCAATTTTAAAATTGTACGTTTGATCCCAACCTCTGGTTGCTGGATGTTCACCTCCAGCAAAGTGCCTCGTTTTTCCGAAAAGCTGAAAAGCTTTGTTCCCGAGCTCCACATACTGTACATTCCACCGGTCATTATTGATCAGTGGTCATGTCTGTTGGGAAAGCCGCATCTTCTTGAAGTTCCTTCAGTGGTCAAAATGTCAAAATACTCCAAACTCCCCACACTTTTAGTACTCAGTGCCCATACTCCAATATTGCAATAGGGTACAGTCGTTCCCCAGAGAGGGCACAAAAGTGATATCGGATATCGGAGTATTGGCACTGTCTATTATAGAAAAGAGTGACTTGATTGCAAAGCAACTGGGAATAGTAAGTCCTGTCCACCGGTGCACCCCAACCAAGATCAACCACCAGACATTTTAGTCTACGAGTAGTGGTACCAGTGTGGTACGTGGTAAGTGCCACTCTTCAGGGGCAATGGGCAGGCTGCCACATGGGCAAGCCCAAAGAGGCCCGGTCACACAGACAAAAGAAGGGTTCCCATCGATTGCTTCCGCTACAGAATTATTGAAACCTGCAGAGAACACGCTGCAATGAGCTCTGCAATCGTGCCGTAAGCAATTCTATCTGTTGATCTCAAAGCATGGGTGGAAGAGAGCTCGGAAGGTTTGAAATTGGCTTCGGAGGAACTGGTGGGCGGCGGCGGTTGCCACTGTTATCATCTGTTGTCGCGACGCTTCACGATGGACGCAGTGTCTCGAGTTCGTTTGGGGCGTTGAGCTTGAGAAGACACCATGGCGACAACGATGGCACCCGAAGACGTTTGCCAATGTTATCCAACATCTTCATTGCCACCATTCTATCGCCATGGCGGGTCTCTACGTGTTTCCTTGCAGCGTCCGCAGGCAGTGGGACGACTACGATGATGGCGGATGTGTCAACTGTGAGGATGCGGCTACCGACAACAACAGCAGTAAAAATACCGTGAAATTTTCATTGAGCAGCAGCGGATTTTCTGTGTCGCATGTTAGCTCGGCCGAAGAAACTGTACGATGTTTTCTTCGAGCGTCGGCGTCGAGTCGACTGATGGTGTGGCCTGAAGTCAGTCCTGCGGCTGGACGGAGACACCAACGGAAAAACGGAGAATAAAGCCTGCTGAAATTCTACACGATGAGTGACGAGTCAAGACGACTGGCTACGATGACAGCTGTCGTTGCATTACTACGATGTTGGACCAAGAGAACAAATGTTGGCGGCTGCTTGCGTTTTGGGGTGCACGTGAAGAACACGTGT